ATAATTGATGCATTTAATTCTAAAAGAACAAAAATTATTAATGAACTTAGCCAAATTGAGGGAAGATGTTCATTGACGGCTGACATGTGGACTTCTATAAACCAGGAGGAATAACTATACATTATGTAGATTCAAATTGGCATCTCTGTAATTTTCTTCTTGACATTATTCCTTTTAGCATTAGACATACTGGAGTAAATATTGCACAAGAGATTAGGCATGTCTTAGGTGAATTCAATATTTCTAACAAAATTATTGCATTAACCACAGACAATGAGTCTGCAATGCTGGTGTGCGGAAGAGAGCTTGCTGAATCCTTTGATGATCAATTTTCTTCAATGAATTTTGCACATTATCATTGTGTAGCACATGTTTTGAGCTTGGGTGTGAAGCAAGGATTAGAAATAGTTAGTGATTCAGTTAACAAAGTGCATCAATTAATGACCAAAATTAAAAACTCAACTTTACTTTGTGATGAACTTCGTATCATGTGTGATGCAAAAAAAATAAAATATCTGAAACCAATTCTGGATGTAGATATCCGCTGGAATTCAACATATTATATGTTGAAATGTTTTGAACAACTTCAGCCAGCACTAATTTTGCTTGCTGCCACTAATAACACCATCAATGATATTTGCCCAAATGAAAATGATTTGGCAGTAATTAAGGTAAAATTGAATATTAAATAAATATTGGTAAATGATTCAACCTGATCACAAAGGCAAAATATTAATAATTAATTTCTGATATTCTTATCATACTTATAGGATGTTCTCTTACTTCTTGAGCCCTTAGAACAAGCCACAAAATATCTTTCATCATCATCCTATCCAACTTTGGGTGATGTTCGTTTTATTTTTCGTAGTGTCCAGACCCATTTAGAAAAATGTATAGGAGAAGAAGACTTTAAACAACGTGAAGTAGCAGCCTCAATGTCCCAAAAACTTGGAGTGTATTGGAATATTATGGATCATTCTTCAATCACTTCATCAATTTTAGATCCTCAAGCCAAGCTCTCTGTTTTTTCAAATAACATAAAGCAAAGTGCTCGTGAGCACATTCAAACAATTTTTAATACATACCAACAAAACTCTTCCAATGAAATATCAACAAGAAGAAAATCAACATCAAGAACATCATCCACTACAAGTGCTGCTTGTTGATATTTCATACAACTTCAACAAGGTACAACAATTCCACAAACATCTTCAGCATCTACTACATTGGAACCAGATCGTTATCTTTCATTGCAAATAGATGAAGATGCAGATCCTCTCTTGTGGTGGCAAGCACATGAAAAAGAGTACCCAATTGTAAGTAAAATGGCGCGGGATTATCTTACAATACAGGCAACCAGTGTTCCATCAGAACGTGCTTTCTCAGTTGCTGGAAATACAATCAGTAAGGTGCGAAATCGCTTATTGCCAGAAACTGCAAGAGCATGTTTGTGTGTGAAGAGTTGGATAATCAATAAAGTAGGGGTTTAGAGTGTTAGAATAATATTCTCGAAATTACTTATATTTTTTTCTTTATATATACTTTATGTTTATTTTTATTTTTTTTATTTTTTTGTAACACATTGTAATTCTATACTAATTACTAATAAAAAATCCTTTAATATTATTAATGTTTGTTTTGTTTTATGCACTTTTTTTTGTATATTGATACCTATCATATTCATTCATTGCATTGTTTGTCCGTTTATTCGTTATTTACATTATAATAATAATAATATTTAATTTATTTAATTTATTTGAATATTAATAAGTCACGTTATTCGTATTAATCTTTCCTTTTAAGGAAAGATTAACTCAGAATTTCCTCATATAGGTATAAATCACATGGGGAACGGTTAGAACTCGGTTCTGTGTTCGGTACAGCATAATGGACATCCTTATAATTGGTAATGATTTTCGTTGATCATATTTTGATTTTATCACGCAAAAAAACAAA